GTGAGTACCCAAACGTTTACCGAATTTAGCGTTTAGGTTTTCTTGTATTTTTTATTTTCATCATTGTAGGCACTTGCATCGAACCACAAAATCATGCGTGGATCCAGGCCTGAGTGTGTATCAGCCATGGCTATGTAGTAAATGAAAAATGCAAAAAATAATCAATATGAAATGATCTAATACTATCGTTTGCATAGACAAATGTGAATTATTAAAACGACAGAAAAAAAACTGTGTTTATATTTGTAAAGCCATCAAGAACATGCTTACATAAATGGCAAGAGACTATTAACGAAAAAGGAAAAAACAATCCATTCAAACAGACATATTGGTAGACGCTCACAAAATGTTTCGTTCTGTTAAGTGGTTGAAAAGAGTGCTGAGCAATGAATTTTTTGCAGAACGATGACTCGCAATTGTAAATCAAATGATTAATCAAGTGTTTTGCGACGAATTCTTTTAATTACAAAAAAAAAGATTATGTCTCATTTTATTTCTTTTCTTGAATGCGCACTGTAAAGAACTAGTATTGTTAAATACACCCAGTGCTATCTTGTGTCGTTTCTATTTAGGGTAGAACAATGAGAACATTGAAAAAAGATAGAATGGAAAAATTCTTCTTGTACTTGCAGCTGCATTAGAAGTTATTCAAATAATCGATGTTTTTTATTTAAAATGATAACAAAATCCTCAAAAGAGCATTTCACATGCAAATATTATTGTTGTCTTTCGTTTTTTCTTCATGATAATTTGCTACCCTATTCACTCTGTCATCATGCGTTTGCAAAAGAAAAGAAGCTAAAAATATCTACAGATAACATTTAGAATAATATTCAAACGACGTACGAGGGTATTACCATTGAACAAATACCAGTTGATGATGAAAGACAAAGGGGATATAAAGCATGATGGTCTCATTTAGACGATTAATTGATGCATGTGGTTGTGTTCAGTAGCAATAATTGAACGAATCAAATAACTACATATTAAATCTTGTATCTTATCTTTTCTAGCTTACGAAATGATAGATTATTATGCGCTTGTTTCAGAAGATCCACTTAGAGCATTATGTTTTCAAATAGTTATCTCGTACAATGACTATTCCGAATATTAGACGTACTGAAAGGTAAAATGAGTCATACTCGTAGGCAACGTACTAGAACAAAGAAAATGAAAGAATATGCTTAGCCGATTTATGGTTGTGCTGGTGGAAGAAGAAGTTATTTGGTAGTTTACCATTTTCGATCATGAATATTATATTAATCAACAACGGTACCGAGAGAAGTTTTTGTAGAAAAGTGCATTTGAATAAATAAAACAATCGAAATTGAAGTTGCACATTTTTCTCTGGTAATGCATGCTCAAAAAATCATGCCGAGGAGATCACGAACTATTCAGCATCACTACTCGAGTAGACACAGTCTTACTGTAAAATCAAACGAGAGATTTTGCAATGTTTTATGATAGTTGGATTTTACTTCAATATTTTTATCAAAGTGAAATATGGATTGCATGAATAAAA